CTGTAGCTGAAAGATTTGCGAAGCTGAAAAATCTGAAAGTTGAAGAAGTTTAAGGAGGATTTGAAAACAAACTCCATTTGAAAACCATGTTAAAATATTAATGATTATTGATTTATATAAATTCAAGCATAAGAGGTAGAAAGCTGAAAAGTCATAGCCCTCAAGCCAGAAAGGAGCTGAACATTTTAATATTTGAAGGATTTTAATAGCTGAAAATGTGAAGGAGTTGAAAGGTGACACGGAAGAAAGAGAAGAAGAAGATGAAGATGAAGAAATAAAGATTCGAAGAACAATACTTGGAATGCATAATGCATTTTCCCACACAGGTGTATCTCTCGCTAGTTTCCATCTCAGGTCCAAGCACTTTAAATAAAAGCATTAAACACAATTTTATCTACAGTAGAAGTCATTATGTTCCCATGTTTAATTCATTTGTTTGGTGGCTTTGAGGCAGTGGTTACAGCTGTGGACATAACAGTGAGATATGATTGTATATACATTTTTTTATTGCTTTGTCACCCAGCCTGCAGGCACGGAGCAACATTAGCATTCATTTGGAGTCAGTTTACAAGATCAATATTTGCTCTTATTTGAGCTCCTTTTTGAAACAGAGGAACCCATATATTTTTATTTACATTATTTACATTTAATACTGATTATAGTAGGAAATATACAAATCACCTTACCTACAGACATTTAAAACTACTTTAGGGTGAAACTTTCCTTTAGATGTTTCCCCCAAACCAGCTCTGCCCAGACTAGAAAGTCACTTCACACCAAAAGCGTGACTAGAAAGTCGTCCTCAGGGTGATACATATCACAGATCACGTCATGTTCCACAAGACATTCACACGCCGTTATGGAAATCAAAGAAGTGAGTGTCACAAGATATGTCCGATCACCTAGACCAGTTTCCTGTTCTGAAAGGACACCACCGCCAAAAAAAGGAGGGAAATCCAACACGCACCTGCAAATAACACTAACTCAGACGTGTCTAGAGGAGCCCGTGACATCGTGCTGTGTGTGCGTTAGTTTGCATGTGTGTGTTGGGCTTGTGTGTCAAGAGGCCAGCTGTATGCTCGCTGAGCCAATGCAGAGCTGTGAGGTTACGTGCTTTTTACGGGTACTGTGTTGAGGACTGTCGATTAATATCAATTAATGATATAGCCACGGATTGATCCAAATCTCCTTATGATTAATGTACCGGCACACAGAGAAGCGAGTTTAGTTTAGAAGACGATTTGTTGGCTACAAGCAGTATTTTCCTGAAGTGTTGTCATCACTATGCTGTTACCAGGCAGCATGTGAAGACCTGGCAATGGTTTAAAAATTATGTTATGCCAGAAATCCATCTCGATCTGATATGAATTATCACCCCAAATAATGGTTTTGCTTTGTACAAATTAAACAGAAGATTAATCAGTAGAACAGAGGTCTTCAACGCGGGGTCCGCAGAGGTACTGCAGGGGGGTCGCGAAATTTTTGGTTGACAAGACAATGTCTTCAGAATCAGAATTGTATTTATTGTCTTCTTTATTGTTATACATTAACAGAAATCCAACATATTGTAGCGAACGGATAAATTAATGGAGAAGACATTATCTTTCAGTCCACAGCAGCTCTCAAGCTGGGCACCTGTTCATTCACAGCACCTTTCATGCTGATACGACAGCAGAGGCACTAGCTAATCAGATCACGTTCATGCTCACGTAAAAGCGCAAAGCTCAAAAATAAAAGATGGCAGACGAAACTCTGTAGAATAGGGGGTCCCTGCTCCATCTCGCCTTCAGTTTGGGGGTCCTTGGCCTGAAAAACGTTGAAGACCCCTGATGTAGAGAATATGGTCCGTTTAATAACCTCAGAAGCATGTTTTAATAATGAGGAATTTATTGACGAAGCTGAGACTATGAAAACAAGGCTGTTTAGACAGAGGCTACACTCAACATTGTGCGAAAGAAATGAAAGAAATCCGAGATCGGGCAAGAGTATTACCGTTAAGGGGTTTATCAAATGCAGCACAGAAAATGTTTCCTATTAGTAAAATGCCCATGTGAAAAGATGCATATGGGTAAAACAACACATGAGCTGAAACAAAGGATTATTGAGCACAAGAGCTCCATCAGGCTGTGAGATCTTGACCATCTCTTCAATTCGATTTCAGGGCATCAGACATATTGACCTCCCGAGAGGGCGGATATGGATTGAAAGATATGCCAAAGGTGGCTTTTGGGGATTTGGCTTCAGCAATGGGCCTCAACAAGGATTCTGATGCTAAAATTCAGATAGGTGATGTAATCAAAGTTATTTAATGTAGAATTTGGGGATCTATGTTTTGTGGCGGCCCCCGACCTGATACCCCTTTGTAGCCCCTTGTTCTATACTAGTGCAGGTCCTGCTTTGAGATTTGTATTTTCTTGTAGATATTTGATTAATGATGACTTAAAGGTGTACACACATGTACTGCATACAGTGGTTACAACTACCATTCCAGCTGAACCATGTATGCCTTTACACCAAAAGCTAATAAGAGATTCTCTCCATAGAATTACGTGTGTGTGTGTAACTATTCTACCAGCTGATGGAAGATTAAAAGTTCATAAAAGGAGGAACTGTTATTTGCTTTGTGAGTGACATCACTAAAAAAAATCAGCTTCGGTGAAAGAGACGCAATATAGATCTTGATAAAGGCCCCTTGGGGGCCACCAACGTCACCAACGTTACCATAAAATGGAATAATAAGCTAAATTGCTTCCTCTTGGTGGAAAGAGACTGAGAAAATTGATAGAGGGATGTGGGTGTTCCATCTGGCAGACAGTGGCTTTGTTAAAGAAACCCCTCCCTTTGATTGAATGGTGGCTTATCTGTCACAGTAGGCTCACAGCGGCTATCTTGAGGTTTAGAGGTCCTGTAGTGTCACAATGAGAAATGCGATGAAAAACTGTCACTAAATGGAACTTCCTGTATAAACTTAGACCGTCTTCCTCTGAGTGTTAACCATTTGCATTAAACCTGTAATAACACAGAAAGAAGTGAATAAAATATAAATATCTTTAAGTTGATGTGGCTGATGTTAAGACAGGACCATGTCGATGGGTAAAACACATCAGACACTGTACACCTGCACATGTGTATGTCCTCTGTGACTATATGGCAGGTATCCTGAAATCTGTCAAAATACTCAATGGAGACAAAGAGCTGCGTTGACATAATATTGTCTTTCAAGTTGATGAAGCTAAGGGCGTCGTTAGCATAGCATTGGCTATTAACACACTCAACTGAACAGCAACTTAGGCATTCATGTTTGTAGCCACTTGGCAATAATAGTCCAACAGTCTCTCTCCTTCCAGCGCCGTTTGGTTTTCCATCAACTCCTTAAAAACATATTTGTCTTTCCAATGGCTAAATGCTCCACTGAGCTGAGCAGCAATATAGCTAGTCACTGGAGTTTGACACTGGGCAGGTGACGTACAGTCACGTGACCCAAAGCCATAAAGTGTTGTCCAGGATAACCACAACCGGTTCATTAAGACCATACATCTCTTTTCTCGCGTGGTCATGTAATGTACCCATATTAAAACAATATAGATTCAAGCTGCTTTCCAGTCCATTTCCCCTGCTAATTATTATTACCTTGTAAACTATACCGTGCTTTGTAAAGCCTTGGCCACAAACATCCACATTCCACATGCTTCACGTGATGTTTTTTTTCTCTCGCATCTCATTCTATTCACCGGTCCAGTGCACCTCCGAACACCACACATCTCTCCTGCTGCTGGTGCCTCGCTGCATGCCAAGTGGTCAGAGTGTGCGACGGAATATCAACATTCTGTAATGTACAGTACGCACTCATACTTTAAAACTCTGAGGTTATTCGGGCAGACTCTTTCTGACTGTGTCACTAACGCACAAACAGGCACAGAACGGATAAACGAGCTGACATACATGTTTGAAAAAATGTTTTGCTGTGCCTTTAAAAGGAAGAGGTACAATGAAGTAAAGTGCAGTGCTCATGATGCCAGGCTTCTGTTGGTGATTCATCAATACAGTCACAGTCTCCCCGAGTTTCTCTCCCTCACTCCATAACTCAGTTTTATTCACATCACTCTGCATAATGCACGATAGCACACAGGTCCCCCAAGGCCTTTCATTACGTAAACCTGTTGCAAGAGGAGCCACAGCAGCATTTTCACAACATCCATCAAAACGGGCAAGCGCGTTAGGAGTGGTTTGTGATGTATCGCTGTTTGAGCGGCAATGAGGTCCAAAGACAATTACACTCGTTTTCCGAGCAGTAAGTATATCAAAAGACTTAAAAAGCTGATGGGACAACTACAGGCGAGGCATTGTGTGCGTCAGTAATCAGAAAATGCATGCCAGAGTGAAAGACCTCCATTGTCTGTGTGTGTGTGTGGGGGGGGAATAAAACTCACCTCTGCAGGGCATTATTGTAAAAACCAACAGGGAGAGCCCCTTTCACTGAGAGGGCATTAAGCCCGGAGATATCTGGGCCTGTTTTTTTTTGTGCATTAACAAAACAGCCACATACAGTTGCAGCAGGATATAATAAAATAACCTTTGCAGTGTAACACTGCATGGAAGATGGAGGAGGCGAGCTGGCCTTAAGAGGACCACTCTCTCCCATCCTCATATGCTGAGTCAGCCATCCTCTGCTTGCAGCTCACTCTTAGAAGATGGAACTATACCTTCTGAACTCATTCTTAGAAGGACGCACTATACAGAAATGTGTTTAAGTTCACGTTCATCCGAGATTGAGAGATTTCCATATCAGAGATGTGGCAGCAAACTAATTCTAAGGGGGGGTATTTTTCTCTTGGATCATTATCACCTACGTGTGTTACATTTATATGTGGCTGTTTGGAAGGAAGAACCCTTTACATGTTATACGGATGTAAATACAAACTGGGAGAGACAATCGCATCAAACGGTGAGTGGCAACGGGGCGGAAAGGGAATCCTGGACCTACAGTGTTCACAACTCACCGCTTGCATTCTTCCAACATATCAGGTGTTGCCAGACCTGCACAGACCCCCATATCTCCGCGTCGGCGTTGACAGCCTGCTCCAGGGTCTCCACGGTGAACTTTGGGATTACGTTATCCCGCTCCAGCAGCGCGCTGCGCAGTGCACGCGCGTACACCTCGCGGAAGAGGCTCTCCATGCACGCAGCCAGATAGAGGGCCGCGTGCTCGTGGATCCTGACCGCGACCCTGCTGTCGACCATCCACCTGAAGAACTTCCCCACGTTGAAGGTGACTCCGCAGCGCGCCGACTTTCCGCGGCTGAACTTGTCCTCCTCTGTGCTCATGTTGTACAGGGACAAGGCACCCAGGGCCGCGCCGACGCAGCTCATCGACACGCTCCACGACAGCACGATCTTTGTGGCACTTTGGACCTCATATTTGGTGCACTTGGCGTAGCGCAAACTCAGGCGCTGCGACTCCTTCGCCACCCTCACCAAGACCCGGCTGACCAGCACCGAGAGCCGGAGCAGGACGTCCTGCGGGGGAGGCGGCAGAGTCATCTCCTCGTCCCGGCACAGCGCGCTCGCCACTTCCCCGAGGCTCCACGGCACATCCTCAAGCTCGGATAGTTTAGCGCACCGCCCGGTGCTCTTCAGGATCTCGGCGTCTTCGACCAGGACAGTGTTAACGGTGTCCAGGCTGTTGTGTCGACTGTGCATGGATCCGGTTAAATGCCAGTGATTCCCCCCATGCGCCTCCGAGCAGCACAGCGACGCACTGGAAGACCTGAAGGAGTCGGCGGTTCCACCATAACCCGAGTCGAGCGTCAAATCCTCCAGGGTCCTCGCCGCTGACTTGCTACTCCTCGCCATAACTGCACTTCATACTGCAAAAGAGGGCTGGGGGAAGTGGAGGTAAATGCGGTGGAGGAGTTTGGACACGTGCGCGTCTTGCACGAGCTCCTCTGACCAATACAATTGTGTGTGTGTGTGTGTGTGTGTGTGTGTGTGTGTGTGTGTGTGTGTGTGTGTGTGTGTGTGTGTGGTGGTTTAAAAAAAAAGTAAAAGTCCACCCAAGGCTTTACGTATAAAGTTGAGTAGTAGCTCACTACAGCACATCGACTGTCGCAAGGAGCTGTACGCAGTGCCTGACAGATGGGGGCGGGGCAATGGAGACCCGAGAACAGCTCTCAGCCAATGGGCTCTCGGGATGACGGAGCAATGGGTTTTAATTGGATCGCTTCAGAGGATCCAAAAAGTCGGTGATGTAGCACATCGTCTTATTAATATATTTGTCTTAAACGATGTAAACACTGAGCTTAATGCTGATGCTACTGGCTTCAGGGGTGTTTCTTAGGACTTCGGAAGTGCAGAAATCTTATGTCAGAGTAGAATTCATACGATAGAAACTGCGGTAAATAATACATCACATAATGTACAGTAGAAGTAGCTGCTGTTATACGATCATGTTTAAGGGACAAGGCCTCCAAAGGGATCAGGGTCTCCAAATGTTTTCTGAGGTTCCATGTGTGATCGTAACACGACTCAAGATTGCATGCATAATATATCCTTCTCGAATGCTCTGGAAGAAAACTCATTGAAAAGATCTGAAATACTTTCAAGGTCATTCGCTGGGATGGACTAATTTTGTTTTTTCCAAGGAAAACCCATGGATTTGGGAAAATCTGCAGGAAGCTGAAAGAATGGTGAATGCAAATGCCAGAGTAATTCAAAAGCTAAAAGGGGTAGCGATGTAGTTGGTTTAAATGTATTGCACAGCAAAAAACTGTAGTCATACTGTAATCCTGTGAACAGCAATGCTACCAAATAACTGTGAATTGACTGGGAGGTGGAAAAATCTCAAAATTTATAGCGTGTGTGCTGGTATCCACGGTAACGGAGCACCTGCTCAAAGGGCAGAGACAGGACAGCGAGTTACACAGAATCCAAACCTCAAACAAGTGTCCTCTAGCGCAAAACTATAACAGCTATCTAAAAAATAAGGGTGGTGAGGAAGAGATAGAGAGGGAGAGGGGAGAAGAATTAGACAGACATACTGACTGACTGAGTGATTAACAGTGAGAAAAGGTCAGGGTGGAGGGGGGCGAGTGTCTTTATCATCATGGTCTGTTGACAGAAAGCATAGCTGCGTCATGTGACTCCACTAATCAGGTCGTAGGAGCTGCTGTGAGGCACAGACAGAGATACTGCAGCGTGTGTGCGAGTAACCACGGCAACGACGCACCTGGGGTCATTAACGAGCTGCTGCAAAGGGCAGACAGGACAGCCAGTTACACACAATCCACACCTCAAACAAGTGTTCACCAGCGCAAAACTATAACAGCTATCTAAAAAATACGACGTTTTTACGAGACCCAAGACTCTACCGAACGCATGGATGCGTTTTTTATGTCTGTCCGGTAATAAATACGGCTCCTGTCGCAGTTTACAAAACGTGTACCTTCTGGATTTTTTGAGAAATATGTCGGCAGATTTGTATTGGAGCCTATGGGGCTTTTAGCAGAGGTTGTGTGACTGTTGGTCTCCGTAGGCCAAAACTAAAGAACTCTGGGATTCTATGAACACATTAATCCAATCAGCACAACCATGCCCTCATTAATCTGAAGAAATGAAGCATCAAAAGTGTATACTTTGGCTGTAAGGACAGAAGATCCATATCTTTTTAACCAGATTCTGACGCTGCCTCAAACTCTTAAGATCTCCGGGTCTCACTCTAGCAGACGCAATACACACTCATGTAAAAGTCAGAAACAGAGCGAAGAACTAGTGAAACATAATCAGTGATTATGAAAAAAGTACAATAGATATCAACAAGCAGTTTTTTCCATAAAATAGTTGAGACCTGTGTCAACATTTGAAGGTTGAAATGGTGTCTGTAGCTGAAATATTGGCGAAGCTGAAAAATCTGAAAGTTGAAGAAGTTTAGGAGGATTTGAAAACAAACTCCATTTGAAAACCATGTTAAAATATTAATGATTATTGATTTATATAAATTCAAGCTTAAGAGGTAGAAAGCTGAAAAGTCATAGCCCGGAAGCCGGAAAGAAGCTGAACATTTTAATATTCGAACGGTTTTAATAGCTGAAAGTGTGAAAGAGTTGAAAGGTGCCACGGAAGAAATAGAATAGCTAGAAAGGGCATTTCCTGCTGAAAATGCGTTGGAATGCAAAAAGCTGAAAGCTGCACTGAATATTTAAAAATAGCTGAAAATACAGAAAGTTGAAGGGAATTTGAATACATCTGAAATTACAGATATTAGAAAAGCTGAAATTAATTTGAAATTGCTGAAAATACAGAAATGGGAGAAGCTGAAAGGAATTTCAATAGATTTGCTGAAACAGCAGAAATGAAAACAGCTGAAATAAATGTGAAATGTTGCAAAACAGAAGTTGCAGGAGCTTAAATGAATTTTAAAAAGTACAGAAATAACAAAAGCTGAGATGAATAAAAAGTGGTCTGAAATTGTTTGTAGTAATATTAGTAGTAGTATTAGTTTTAGTTGTAATTGTGGTATTAGTAGTACTAGCAGTAGAAGTCGGTTTAGTATCGATAGCAGTAGAAACAGCTGTATACTAACACTATTAGCCATAGTGGTATTTGTAATAACATTAGTAGTAGTTGTAGTATTAATAGCAGTAGAAATACTAGTAGTATGGTAGTAGAAGTATCAGTTGTAGTACTAGAAGTATGAGTAATATTCCTAGTGGGAGACAGAATGTTTGTTATTCAAACCAAGACGTTTTTAATTAATAGGCCTCATCACAAACATTACAGTAAAAATTCCCTCAATGGGGCTTTTATTTTGAAATTATTGGATTGGGTGGGGTGGGGCGGTGTAGATAGAGGTAGGGAGGGTGAGCGGGTGAGGAAGGGAGGGGTGGTGAGGAAGAGATAGAGGGAGAGAGAGAGAGAGGAGGAGAAATAGACAGACAGACTGACTGAGAGTGATAAACAGTGAGAAGAGGTCAGGGTGGAGGGGGGAGGGGGGGCGAGTGTCTTTATCATATTGGTCTGTTGACAGAAAGCATAGCTGCGTCATGTGACTCCACTAATCAGGTCATAGGAGCAGCTGTGAGTCACAGACAGAGATCCTGCAGCGTGTGAGCGAGTAACCACGACAACGACGCACCTGTGCTCATTAACGAGCTGCTGCAAAAAGGCAGAGACATGACAGCAAGTTACACAGAATCCACACCTCAAACAAATGAGAACCAGCGCAAAACTATAACAGTTATTTAAAAAATACGGCGTTTTTACGAGACCCAAGACTCTACCGAACGCGTGGATGTGCGTTTTATGTCTGTCCGGTAATAAATACGGCTCCTATGGCCGTTGACAAAACGTGTACCTTCTGGATTTTTATAGAAATATGTCGGCAGATTTGTATTGGAGCCTATGGGGCTTTTGGCAGAGGTTGTGTCACTCTAACACTCCTTAAGCAAAAACTAAAGAACTCTGGGATTCCATGAACGCATTAATCCAATCAGCACAACCATACCCTCATTAATCTGAAGAAATGAAGCCTCTAGAGTGTATACTTTGGCTGCAAGGACAGAAGTTCCATACTTTTTTAACCAGATTCTGGTGCTGCCTTACACTCTAGCCCTCGAGGTCGCCACTCTAGCAGACGCAATACACACTCATGTAAAAGTCAGAAACGGAGCGAAGAACTAGTGAAACATAATCAGTGATTATGAAAAAAGTACAATAGATATCAAGAAGCAGTTTTTTTCATAAAATAGTTGAGACTTGTGTGAACATTTGAGAGTTGAAATGGTGTCTGTAGCTGAAAGATTTGCGAAGCTGAAAAATCTGAAAGTTGAAGAAGTTGAAGACGATTTGAAAAGCAAACTCCATTTGAAAACCATGTTAAAATATTAACGATTATTGATTTATATAAATTCAAGCTTAAGAGGTAGAAAGCTGAAAAGTCATAGCCCGGAAGCCTGAAAGAAGCTGAACATTTTAATATTTGAAGGATTTTAATAGCTGAAAGTGTGAAGGAGTTGAAAGGTGGCACGGAAGAAATAGAAGAATAATAATAACTAGAAAAAGCATTTCCTGCTGAAAATGCGTTGGAATGCAAAAAGCTGAAAGCTGCACTGAATATTTAAAAATAGCTGAAAATACAGAAAGTTGAAGGGAATTTTAATACATTTGCTGAAATGACAGATATTTGAAAAGCTGAAATTAATTTGAAATAGCTGAAAATACAGAAATGGGACAAGCTGAAAGGAATTTCAATAGATTTGCTGAAAAAGCAGAAATGAAAACAGCTGAAATAAATGTGAAATATTGCAAAACAGAAGTTGCAGGAGCTTAAATGAATTTTAAAAAGTACAGAAATAACAAAAGCTGAGATGAATAAAAAGAGGTTTAAAATTGTTTGTAGTATTGTTAGTTGTAATTTGGGTATTAGTACTAGCAGTAGAAGTCGGTTTAGTATCAATAGCAGTAGAAACAGCTGGAATACTGATACTATTAGCCATAGTAGTATTTGTAATAACATTAGTAGTAGTTGTAGTATTAATAGCAGTAGAAATACTAGTAGTATGGTAGTAGAAGTATCAGTTGTAGTACTACTAGAAGTACTAGTAACTTGCTTAGTGGTTGTAGTAGTATTTGAAAGAGCAATACGTATTTCAACGAAACCGCTTCATGGTTAAGGTACAGATAATCATTGAGGCTTTAATTTTGTAATGAAGGAATTGGGTGAGGGGGGGTTGGGAGACAGAATGTTTGTTATTCAAACTAAGAAGTTTTTAATTAATAGGCCTCATCACAAACATTACAGTAAAAATTCTCTCCATGGGGCTTTTATTTTGAAATTATTGGATTGGGTGGGGTGGTGGGGTGTAGATAGAGGGAGGGAGGGTGAGAGGGTGAGGAAGGGAGGGGTGGTGAGGAAGAGATAGAGGGAGAGAGAGAGGAGGAGAAATGGACAGACAGACTGACTGACTGAGTGATTAACAGTGAGAAGAGGTCAGGGTGGGGGGGGGGGGGGGGGCGAGTGTCTTTATCATATTGGTCTGTTGACAGAAAGCATAGCTGCGTCATGTGACTCCACTAATCAGGTCATAGGAGCAGCTGTGAGTCACAGACAGATCCTGCAGCATGTGTACGAGTAACCACGGCAACGGCGCACCTATTGGATTGGGTGGGGTGGGGGGGTGTAGATAGAGGGAGGGAGGGTGAGAGGGTGAGGAAGGGAATGGTGGTGAGGAAGAGATAGAGAGGGAGAGAGGAGGAGAAATAGACAGACTGACTGTCTGAGAGTGATTAACAGTGAGAAGAGGTCAGGGGGGAGGGGGGGGCTAGTGTCTTTATCATATTGGTCTGTTGACAGAAAGCATAGCTGCGTCATGTGACTCCACTAATCAGGTCATAGGAGCAGCTGTGAGCCACAGACAGAGATCCTGCAGCGTGTGAGCGAGTAACCACGACAACGACGCACCTGTGATCATTAACGAGCGGCTGCAAAAGGGCAGACACAAGACAGCGAGTTACACAGAATCCACACCTCAAACAAATGAGAACCAGCGCAAAACTATAACAGCTTTCTAAAAAGTACGGCGTTTTTACGAGACCCAAGACTCTACCGAACGCATGGATGTGCGTTTTATGTCTGTCCGGTAATAAATACGGCTCCTATGGCCGTTGACAAAACGTGTACCTTCTGGATTTTTTGAGAAATATGTCGGCAGATTTGTATTGGAGCCTATGGGGCTTTTGGCGGAGGTTGTGTGACTCTAACTCTCCTTAAGCCAAAACTAAAGAAGTTTGGGATTCCATGAACACATTAATCCAATCAGCACAACCATACCCTCATTAATCTGAAGAAATGAAGCCTCTAGAGTGTATACTTTGGCTGTAAGGACAGAAGTTCCATATTTTTTTAACCAGATTCTGGTGCTGCCTTACACTCTAGCCCTCGAGGTCTCCACTCTAGCAGACGCAATACACACTCATGTAAAAGCCAGAAACGGAGCGAAGAACTAGTGAAACATAATCAGTGATTATGAAAAAAGTACAATAGATATCCACAAGCAGTTTTTTTCATAAAATAGTTGAGACCTGTGTCAACATTTGAAAGTTGAAATGGTGTCTGTAGCTGAAAGATTGGCGGAGCTGAAATATCTGAAAGTTGAAGAAGTTTAAGGAGGATTTGAAAACAAACTCCATTTGAAAACCATGTTAAAATATTAATGATTATTGATTTATATAAATTCAAGCTTAAGAGGTAGAAAGCTGAAAAGTCATGGCCCTCAAGCCAGAAAGGAGCTGAACATTTTAATATTTGAAGGATTTTAATAGCTGAAAGTGTGAAGGAGTTGAAAGGTGGCACGGAAGAAATAGAATAAGAATAAGTTGAAATAAAGATTAGAAGAACAATACTTGGAATGCTTAAAGCATTCCAACTAACTAGAAAAGGCATTTCCTGCTGAAAATGCGTTGGAATGCAAAAAGCTGAAAGCTACACTGAATATTTAAAAATAGCTGAAAATACAGAAAGTTGAAGGGAATTTGAATACATTTGCTGAAAAGCTGAAATTAATTTGAAATTGCTGAAAATACAGAAATGGGAGAAGCTGAAGGGAATTTCAATAGATTTGCTGAAAAAGCAGAAATGAAAACAGCTGAAATAAATGTGAAATATTGCAAAAAAAGAATACAGAAATTAATATTAAAACATTGCTGTTAATAGAGGCATAAGAAAAGCAGAAATTATTTTAAAGAACTGCTGAAAATACAGGAAGTGGGGAAGCTGAATTTCAATAGATTTTCTAAAAACAGAAGTTGCAGGAGCTTAAATTTGTTTAAAATTGTTTGTAGTAATATTAGTAGTAGTATTAGTTATAGTTGTAATTGTGGTATTAGTAGTACTAGCAGTAGAAGCAGTAATAGTAGGTTTAGTATCAACATGTCAGTAGAAACAGCTGTAATACTATTAGCCCTGGTAGTATTTGTAATAACATTAGTAGTAGTTGTAGTATTAATAGCAATAGAAATCCTAGTAGTATGGTAGTAGAAGTATCAGTTGTAGTGTAGAAGTACTAGTAATATTCGTAGTGGTTGTAGTAGTATTTAAAAGAGCAATACGTATTTCAACGAAACCGCTTCATGGTTAAGGTACAGATAATCATTGAGGCTTTTAGTTTGTAATGATGGAATTGGGTGAGGGGGGGGGGGGTGGGAGACAGAATGTTTGTTATTCAAACTAAGATGTTTTTAATTAATAGGCCTCATCACAAACATTACAGTAAAAATTCCCTCAATGGGGCTTTTATTTTGAAATTATTGGATTGGGTGGGGTGGGGGGGTGTAGATAGAGGTAGGGAGGGTGAGCGGGTGAGGAAGGGAGGGGTGGTAAGGAAGAGATAGAGGGAGAGAGAGAGAGAGGAGGAGAAATAGACAGACAGACTGACTGAGAGTGATAAACAGTGAGAAGAGGTCAGGGGGGAGGGGGGGCGAGTGTCTTTATCATATTGGTCTGTTGACAGAAAGCATAGCTGCGTCATGTGACTCCACTAATCAGGTCATAGGAGCAGCTGTGAGTCACAGACAGAGATCCTGCAGCGTGTGAGCGAGTAACCACGACAACGACGCACCTGTGCTCATTAACGAGCTGCTGCAAAAAGGCAGAGACATGGCAGCAAGTTACACAGAATCCACACCTCAAACAAATCTGAAGAAATGAAGCCTCTAGAGTGTATACTTTGGCTGCAAGGACAGAAGTTCCATATTTTTTTAACCAGATTTTCGCGCTGCCTTACACTCTAGCCCTCGAGGTCCTCACTCTGGCAGACGCAATACACACTCATGTAAAAGTCAGAAACGGAGCGAAGAACTAGTGAAACATAATCAGTGATTATGAAAAAAGTACAAAAGATATCAAGGAGCAGTTTTTTTCATAAAATAGTTGAGACCTGTGTCAACATTTGAAAGTTTAAATGGTGTCTGTAGCTGAAAGATTTGCGAAGCTGAAAAATCTGAAAGTTGAAGAAGTTTAAGGAGGATTTGAATACAAACTCCATTTGAAAACCATGTTAAAATATTAATGATTATTGATTTATATAAATTCAAGCTTAAGAGGTAGAAAGCTGAAAAGTCATAGCCCTCAAGCCAGAAAGGAGCTGAACATTTTAATATTTGAACGGTTTTAATAGCTGAAAGTGTGAAGGAGTTGAAAGGTGCCGCGGAAGAAATAGAAGAAGGAGAAGTTGAAGATGAAGAAATAAAGATTCGAAGAACAATCGTTAATGCATTCCAACAATAAGTATAAGTCGGAAATAAAGATTCGAAGAACAATACTTGGAATGCTTAAAGCATTCCAACTAATAAAGATTCGAAGAATAATACTTGGAATGCTTAATGCATTCCAACAATTAAGCTACTGTATTTGACAGTACACTGGACGTCTCTGGAGCAACAGTGAACCCTGCTGTTGTACAGTCAAACTTCAGCTTATTTTATCAAGGCAAAAGGCTCCACATTTCTGTGAAATGCATTGTTGAAATGATATATTCTTCACTGGTCTTTCAGGGTAGATAATTACAAGCATGTGATGCATGCAATTAATGAAGATATTATTACATACAGACTATGAAGGTCGCACAAGCATCCTCAGAAGAAAATACATCAATGAGATTGATTTGTTCTAATTATATTGATTTAAGTCAGCTCATAAACTGACATGGCAGCTCTCTTTTCGATGTAAGGAACCAAATAGTTTTGCTAAATCAATTCTTGTCAAATGAAAGTAAAACAAAATTGGGTTATAAAACTGACCTCGAAGGTCTTTATTTATACGTTTTCTTTAAACTAGCCCCCTATATAAGCTTCAATCAATTCATTTAGAGGGATCATCAAGTAAGACAAAGCCCAATTTGGAACGGGGCAATTAAGAAAAAGGAGATTTTTAAACTCTATACTCTTAGTGTTGTTTCATATTACCTACAAACTACAAGCAATGCATTTCCACATCGCTTAACACGTCATACACCATCTTACACAGGAAACAGCAATCAGCTTGAGGCATTGACTGAACACAGGCTGGACAGGCTTCAACCTACTTTTTGTGTCATCAGTCATTGGCCAAAGCAGTGACTTCTCTAAACTGCTGCTGCAATCGAGGTAAGAATGATTGAAATGTTTATTTAATTTTTTAAAAAAGAGGCAAATGATGAAAGGGATTCCATGATCTTTCAATCCAGTTCTGTTTAAGACTGCCATCTACTGCTGGGCCTCGCTGTAGTGACTGTCACCTCCTGCTTCAGTGAAATAAGAGGTTTTCTGGTTGGTGTAGGAAAACACCACCTTTTACCACAGTTACTGACAACTCACTCGACACACACTCACCGCTGTGTCGAGTGTAGCAGTCCGCCTGCTGATGCTCTCATGCAAGAGCTGTGTAGGTTCGACTGTGCGTGTAGAAATTCTCCGCCAGAATAGGTGCCACCTGTTCACATTAAAACAACGGATTTTCATGCACTCTCTTCATTGATGAGAGATTTCGGTTCTGTGGCCTTGATTTTGTAAATATCACTGATGGTCTAAATTTTAATTTGTAATTAATTGGTCATTTGTGCATTTAAACCCTAGATTTTACCTTTATTATCTTTCTAAATAGTGAATCTAGTTGATCAATGAGAACACATTCACCTTGTAACCCTCTTGGTTTATAAGCCATTAATCAACGATCTTGTGGGCTCTCAGATTTTTGTTGCAGTGCTTAGAGGACTTGGATGCCAGCCTGCGCAAACTCAACTCCCGCTTGTTCGTCATCAGAGGCCAGCCTACAGACGTCTTCCCTCGGATTTTTAAGGTAGCATCGATGAAGTAGAGTAGAAGATGCATTCTTACACTCATAAGAATATACTTTTTATAATGTTACACCTCGTGTAACGGTGACTTAATAAACAATAGGTGACGTTGACAAGGAACGTCGCTAATTGCTTAGAAGTCCCATCAATTTCCTTGCAGATTAAAACAATAAATGATATCTATTACTGTCCCTCAGGAGTGGCAGACTACTTGTCTATCTTACGAGTACGACTCTGAGCCGTTTGGCAAGGAACGCGATGCTGCCATCCAGAAACTAGCCAGCGAGGCCGGGGTGGAGGTCATGGTGCGGACTGCTCACACCCTCTACAATCTGGACAGGTGAGTGACTTCATCGTTTCAGGTGAAACACAAGTCCCATAGTAGAAGTAGAAGACTTATGTTTATTTCTCTTCAATTCCTCTTTCCCCCGAAGGATCATAGAGCTCAACGTCGGTCAGTCTCCGCTCACGTACAAGCGCTTCCAGGCGCTCGTCAACCGCATGGACGCCGTGGAGCTGCCTGCAGAGACCATCACAGCCGAGGTCGTCCAAAAATGTGCCACACCGCTCAGCGAAGATCACGATGACAAGTTTGCGGTGCCCTCCCTGGAAGAGCTTGGTTAGTGACTTACTTGAATGTTTATTTTTATGGCTTTGAAGAAGTTTGGGGAATATATTTTAATTGTTGTTGCTTTTCAGGTTTTGAGACAGAAGGCCTGACCACCGCAGTATGGCCGGGTGGAGAAACAGAAGCCCTCATGAGGCTAGAGCGACACCTGGAGAGAAAGGTAACAATAAGGAATATCGGTGTGATTCCCTTTGGATTGGTTGATTGCTTACTTGGCTCAAGTCGTTTCATGCACATAGATAGAAAAGACACCGGTAAAGCTCCATGGTTGTTCGGTTCTTTAAGAACCTCCCCACCGAACGGGGCATCAGAAGAGGACACGTTGATATAACTCGTTTTAGGTTTTTTATTTTGCTGAATGATTTCACAGAACAGCTGATTTGTCCACTTTGCAGGTTATAAACCTGTATAAATAGAAAGAAAGAAAGAAAGAAACTAATGTAAACAATAATAGCAGCATACACAATACCATACATTCTGGACATACTAATATGAATATAATATAAATTTCATTAGTATTACAAATATAATATATTTAGTGTTTAAACTAAACAAACATATCTAAACACAGAACTGCACATCACCGTTACACATCAACCAACTTAAATCAAGTGAGCACAATGAGTAGTCGAAAAGGTGACGCGGGGCATGGCAATCCATTATCAACCGCTTGACTACATTACCCATCGAGCACCGCAATCAGGAAGTAGCTTGTGATAGTGAAGTGCACCAATTTAGAATTTGCTGGACTAGTCACAGACGCTGATCGAGCCGACAGCGTTAACCAACGTAACAGTTTTTTAAACAATCCAAACCCGCGCACATCGCGGCAGCACAGCAGCAGCGCTACAGACAAGTATACTTCACACACAGCTGAACGCAACGGCTTAACGGTGGCATCTCTCCTGACGTGACAACCTCTCAATAATCGGTTCCCCTTATAGCCGTTGATTGGCCCATGCTTTGATCACGTGAACCTCCCACTTGTTGCTGCTCAACACCCGTGACGTAGTAAACGCTACAATGGTAATCAAACACACAATGACAACACGAGTTGAGAAGATGAGGACAGTAGAGGATGTCGCATGAGATATACGTCTTTTGACGACAGATGGTGGCGGCTGAAAAGTATCAGGTGACCTCTAGCCAGATCTACAGAGGAAGAGGAATACAAACTGAACAAAAATGGTAAAAAGCAGCCCATATGTTGTAAATAAATAGATTTATATCATATAGCGCCATCTATCGCCTCTTTCTTTGACCTCTTTTCAAACCTCAGGTTTAAGTGCTGAGACTTTATTATTTTCTTTCGCCAATCACAGTGGGATTGTTTTGATCAATGTTGTTTTTTTTCCCCCAGGCGTGGGTGGCAAACTTTGAGAGGCCGCGAATGAACGCCAACTCCCTGCTGGCCAGTCCCACCGGCCTCAGCCCCTACCTGCGCTTTGGTTGTCTCTCTTGTCGGCTCTTCTACTTCAAGCTCACCGATCTTTACAGGAAGGTATGAATGACCAAATACGAGACAAGAAATAACAGAGGCCATTCGTATTTGGAAAAAGACAGCTGACGTGTATCATAATTTGCTTTCACTCACAGATTTATGTTGTGAGACGCATTAGCCGAGGCAATACTCGCCGCCTTCATCTTAAAATCATAATTAAATACAGCTTTTCTACCTGCCTTCTGTTTTAATTTAAAGTGATATCGTGTGCCCCATCAGGTCAAGAAGAACAGCACCCCGCCGCTTTCCCTGTACGGCCAGCTGTTGTGGAGGGAGTTCTTCTACACGACGGCCACCAACAACCCCTGCTTTGACAAGATGGAGGGAAACCCCATCTGCGTGCAGATCCCCTGGGACCAAAACCCAGAGGCGCTGGCCAAGTGGGCGGAGGGGCAGACGGGCTTTCCCTGGATCGACGCCATTATGACCCAGCTGAGGCAGGAGGGCTGGATCCATCACTTGGCGAGGCACGCCGTGGCCTGCTTCCTCACCAGGGACCTCTGGGTCAGCTGGGAAGAAGGCATGAAGGTGAGAACGGAGATTTAGTATCCCGAATATAAACGAAGGTGCCTGGCTGCGGCCGCCCTGCGGTTTCTTTCTCTGATTGACATCACATGCATTGCACTGTGTCTCGTACAGGTTTTTGAAGAGCTGCTCATAGATGCGGACTGGAGTGTAAATGCCGGCAGCTGGATGTGGCTTTCGTGCAGTTCATTTTTCCAGCAGTTCTTCCACTGCTACTGCCCAGTGGGATTTGGAAGGCGCACGGACCCCAACGGGGACTTCATACGGTCAGTCGGTACCTCCATCTGCAGCCCCGTGATTTCAAAAGCTCATGATGATGATGAGGATGATTTGTGCTCCTTCGCTCATTTCAAATGGGAAACTTAACATCTCGTTGTTGGATTGTGGTCATCCGTTGCCTCACATGGGGGAATGATTTGACACGGTTTGTCACAATACAGTCATCTGTAGAAATTGATTGAACAATGAGGCAAATTGTGTGAGCTAATTTAGTGCATTTAATGCCGATATGGCAAAGAATGAGCTTTCACAGTCAATTTTACTCGTGTTAGTACTTATCTATCATGGCAATTATGTAACAACACGCACTGATATCTAGTGCGCCGCAATATTTTACTCCGCCTTATATCATGCTCCACAAATTGTTCATCCTCCGAACCCGCCGTCCTCCTCTGCTGCCAGGCGTTATTTGCCCGTGTTGAGAGGCTTTCCAGCCAAATACATCTATGATCCTTGGAATGCCCCGGAGGAAGTGCAGAAGGCAGCCAAGTGCATCGTGGGAGTCCACTACCCGAGGCCTATGGTGAACCACGCCGAGTCCAGCCGCGTCAACATAGAGCGCATGAAGCAAATTTACCAGCAGTTTTCCAGCTACAGAGGACTGGGTAGGGACATGAACCACATACGCACAACCTTTTTTATAAATGCAAATTACGCAACGTTGCATTAGAATAAAGCAGAGCTAGATAAATGCTGGTGCTGCGTAATCAATAATGGGCAGTTTGCAGATAAAACCCCAGTAATGTTTGAAATGCTTTCATGAGTGCAGAAATATAGAGCCAACTACTGCTACAATGCAAGTGTTGTCTGGTGTTGTCCCGGATTCCAATGCTTTGCTCGCCTTGCAGGCCTGCTGGCAGCAGTTCCTGCCAATCCCAACAGTGTTGCAAATGACGGGGTTCTCAATTCGGGGACCAGTCGTGGTCCGGGAGGCTCCTCTGAAGGCCTCTTCACATATACAGCATCATTTCCAACAGGTATGCAGGTTGGATTGTTGACTTTGGTTGAGATCATTTTTTGAGTTATTAATACATTACATACATTAAGAATTGCGCAAGACTTTTAAATGTTATTTAAGCAAAGTCATTAGAGAAAAGGCTAAAAACATAAAATTGATATAAGTTAAACTTGGGCCGGCTGGCAGCGTGCAATCAAATATCTGCTGCCCCAGGCCTGCAAGATTTGGTAACAGACAACATGACTGTGTCATAACTCAACTACCATAACTTGACTTTGGTGTTTCCTGTTTTAATGCAGAAAAGGGAAATTCCACGCAGAAGCGCCGGCGTGAAGAAGACATTTCCCTCAGAAGCAGCACTAAATCCTGGAGGCAGAGCAACTAGTGTGAAAACAGAAGAATACAAAGGGTCCCTCAGTCATCTGGATATCCTCTTCTCTTCAAGTGCCCTCAGCTGACAACAGCAGTAACTGTGACTAACAACTATAGCTAGATCCATAAATCCATAACATGTCTTGGTCTCCAGATGAGAAGTACCACACATCTCATGAACCACGGGGGGAATTCAGAGACAATGCTGACATTCAAGAGAGAGTTGGACTTTTGAGGTAACCTATGGTCTTCCATAAAACGACTTGTCATCATCCGCAATGCGTTTCTTCTCCCCCATCAACACCCTACGTCAGTTTGCTGTTGGGGTGAAAGTGTAATTCAGCGGATCAGCTGAACGTTTGTCTGAGCATCACTTCTCATTAATTGTCCCATCCTGAGTTTTGGGACACAGCAACACAGTCTGAAGAATATGGGAGATTTCTTGTGTGTGACTCATGTGTGTTATGACTGAAATAACGCACGGTGGTTTACTTTGCTAAAAACAACTCCCTAAATATTTCATATACAGAAAATTAGCTGACACTGTCATAGATCTGCATAGTGTGTGTTTTTTAAATCTCTTTCCTTTCTATTTAGGACACAAAAGCCTGATGTACAGTAGTAGGGAATATTAGGTTGAGAGTTTCACCAGGCCTTTCATTATGTATTTTGTAAATAACTTTTGTGTATTTGGTTTTGTGCTTTCTAAACTACTTTTGTATATATTTAACCAAAATGTGAATGCGTGTGCTTTCGCCTCCCAGGTGATTGTAAATCATTAGTTTTTGTATAAAGAATGACCAAATTTAACTATTGAAATGGCAAAAAAATTACAAATGTTGAATTCTTTTCATCTTTTTTATGCACATGTATACTTTTATTATTATCTTTCCATATATTTTTGATAATTATAAACATTTAAATTAGCCTAAGCTATGTGCACTGGTGCACTCGGAGTTGGTAGGGGGTGCATTTTCATTGCAGAAAATCCAATGACTTCCTCATAAGACATATAAAAGAAGTGCCTTTGTGGATGTGCCTACTGATCAAAGATAATAAAGTGCCTTCTAGGATTCACAGTGGAGACATAAGACAAAGTGATGGTGGGTAAACATAATAAACTATCTTCTTGGAGAGAGAGAAGCTGGTGAAGAGCCCTCTGGAGCCCCAGTGGAAAACGTGAAAGGCGCCATATTGGATTTGTTGCTAAAAGCTAAATGGCCTCCGGTGAATGATGATTTGACATTTGTTAGCATTCAACGAGGTGTGTGACCTCGTGAGCGGGTCACGCCGCACGGTCGACGTCAGCCCGGATCCCCGCCCTGTCCGGGGGCCGGTTGGGGGGCAGCGATTGCCTCGGATCGAGTCGCTATAAAGCGTGCTCGGCTCCGGGGGAGGAAGTGCACGTTGAAGGAGCTTGTTTCCCTGCTTTTTTTGACCGCACATCGGGGAGAGCGAGAGCGAGAAAGACAACAATGAGCGGGGACAACGTGCAGAAGAAGCCGGTACACCTCATAGCGGCGGCCTGCAGCGGAGGGGGCATCGGGAAGGACGGACAAATGCCCTGGGACCTCCCGTAAGAGTGAAGCCTCTTTGCGTGCTGAAGTCAGACCCCGTGGGGCTGTTGCTGTTTAGCCATTAGCTTGCATTCTCTGCAGACATATAGTTTTAAAGGTATTTTAGCATCGAGGCTGCTAATGATAGTTGTCACTGACCAGTTTTCATTGATTTAAATATGGTTAGTTCATAAATGCATACCAGTGATGTGAGTAATAAGGCTACCTAAAATTATATGATATAATGAATTACACTTCTATGACCAGAGGAGATACTGATTTACTGGATATTTTTATCTGACAAGTGTCAAATTAAGTTGTTATAATTGAGGTTTCCTATGTGGAGCCTGTTGATGTATTTTGGTTTATTATGGAACTTAGATCCATCGTTTTGTTCTCTGTGGAAAGCAGAACACTGAGTTAATGTACTTGGCAACAGATCTGACTTGTTGTTCTGTCTGATTTGATATTGGGGGGAAACAAAATAATGATATTGAAAATGTGACTGTTGCAGATCTGAATTCCGGTACTTTAGGAACCATGTACAGGGGGTGTCGAGACCAGGTACTGCTCAACATCATTATCACATCATATTGAATGTAATCTGGATTACATTGAAACTAGTTATTGTTCCAAATGTATTACATCTAAATAGTGTTACCATTCATTGCTATTATCCATATCCAGCCCAGTTCATGTGCTTAGTGCCACACGAAGAGACGTGAGAGCTGCAACCGGTCGGACTTAAGTTTTAAACATCTCATTCTTTTCTATTTCAGCGAAGATGAACATGATGGTTTGGGGAAAACTGTGCTGGTACTCTGTCCCAAAACCTGATTTCCCACTGCCCAATGTTCTGCACGTGGTGCTGAGCAAAACACTAGAGTGAGTGCTCTCTCGCCTGCGCCAACAAGGACGGAAAGCCCTATTTCTTGAACAAATCTTTTTCGGGTTTTTTTTCATCTCCTCTCACAGGTCAGTTCCAGATCACGCCCATTTCTTGTGCGAGGACTTGGACGCCACTGTCCGTCTGGCTGTGCAGCCCCCCCTCGCCGACTTGATTGAGACCATCTGGGTCGTCGGAGAGACGCAAGTCTATGAGGTGAAGCAGCCCGAGCGTTAAACTCCCAGTGACGCACGTTTTACCAGCATTCCCAGCTGAACCGGTCTGCCCAGATGCAATTATTTTACTGCCAAGCGCAGCCGCAAATGTGCAAAGTTGTGTTGTGTGTGGTGGAAATTTGTGGATTTAGCCCATGTGAGAAATCAAAAGTATCTTGAGCTTGCTTTGTGATTAAGTATTTATTACTAACTAGGATATAGAAAAAATCATTAGAATACAGAAATCATCAACACAAGTCGTAAGTACAGACAGAAGTCAAATGACTACAATTCAGCTGAAAAGGGACAGATGTTCCTTCCCCCAAAAGGAGCAGGAAGATCTGACAAAGTTGAAGAGGAGAACAGGAGCTTATATACACTTCAGGGAGGTTTATGCTGCCTCAGGACAGGACAGCCCACCCCTCAAAGAGGAGTGTTGGAAAAGTACCAGATGATGTAGGGGTGACCCCGCAACCCTCCCTTTATGGACCCAGACAATCAACAACATCTAAAAGGTCAGTCAGGGCACGTATGTTTTCATCTGTGTCTTATCTCACCCTGGACTGCCTTAAGTCACCGGCTCACATCAAAGGTAACATTCCTGAGAGCCTCACCCCACGCAGGCTCAACAATTTTCCCCCAACATCCCTCTCTTTTTGTCATTTTTGACAATCCGGAATCAACTTAAGAAACTCCAAACAACAACTAAATTGAAATTAAGAAAGAAAATTAAACAACAAAGAAAACGCTTAGAACATACATCAGTGGTCTAAATTCACGAAGATTCAGAACATCACATCATTAACTTCTAGGTACATTGAGAACTCTTGCTAAACATTAACACCATACATGCTGTTTAGTTACACACAATCCTCACACTCATCATCACTGTCAGAGCTATACGGATAGGGTGGAGTCCATTCCTGAACCGGACACCGTATAGTAGTACTTGTGTTCAACTGATACATGAGTACTAACAACCTTCCCTACAAAGAGCTTTAAAACAGTTACAATTAGGGTTATAACAATTACAGACAGATTGATGCCCCCTAATTCCCATAGCAGTTCCTTGAAGAGAGAAGGTCCCTATGATCCAACCCATGCCTGCATTTCCCCAAAAGGATTCCAGCCGTGGTCTTCATGCAATTCCTTAATGCCTTGCTCTGTGTCTGCCACCACATCATACACTGATGATGTTGCATCAGAGAAGTGCAACATTCAGTGTTGATTATTTTGCATACCCCGCCTTGTGAGGCCAGAATGAGGTCCAGAGCCATTCTATTTTGTAGTACCATGTGTTTGATGTCATTTACTTCCTTTTGCATTTCGGAAAGTGCTATTGAAGTCTTATTCATGTGTCTTTCCAGTACTGTTGAGAGTGCCCTTATTTCCTCCTGGCTCCTGTAGGTGCCATAGGACGGTATTAGTATGCTCAAAATCCTTGAACCTAGTGAAATGGCGCGTTTATGACGTACATGGAATGGCGCAAGTTCCTTGGAGTCAGCTTGTCTAATTAGGGGTATAAGATATGCTAAATAGCATTTCCCAGTAACTGACCCTTTACGAAGGTTCCCTACGACCGGAACAAAGCTGTAAGCGATGTTGCCACAAACTAAATACACCTTTCCCGGTAATGCGAGGTCCTTAGACTCAGTGGTAAAGCTGATAATATCATTACTACAGTCACTCGTACCTAGATGAAATCCATCCAGAGCATAGAAGTTAACACAGCGGCTGACGTTGGTTAAGGGATGGACTGGAATGGGAGGTGCTGGGTTAGTGCAATCTCGATTCGGAGGTCTAGTTGGGATTAAAGGTTTACTACAATTATGTCTACTCCAAGTTGAATGTGTGACTTTAAAATCATTTGCCCAGGGGATGCTCTGTATACCCATCTCCAATCGAATAGATGCTGTATTTGGTATGAGAGTACATGCAGTTTTTAACAATTCATTCTCCGCCGTACAATTAGTCTCACCGAGAGTCATTTGCACTTGATATCTTAACCCTTGTTGGACGTATCTTTTGTAATAGGTTAATCTAAACAACATCACTTGATTAATACCTACGGGCCTTTTCTCAAGATTAAACTGCTTAACTGCAAAACGCACAACTTTCCCCTTTTCACCCTCATAGGCAGTTGTGCTTTGCGCTCTTGTCGCCGTATGCGATGGAGGAGTGTAACAGTCTTCATCATTACTCACAAATCGATGAGATAACTCAGGCCACACCATGACATCCCAGTCGGCTTCCGTGAATGGAACAGGAACCAACATAGGTGCTCTAGATGAAATGGGCATATGCTGACATATCCAACAATTAGAGACATTCCTTTCATTAGCAAACTCATTCATAATAGTCAACGCAATATTATCATGCTTGTACGGTGGTGTACGGTTTGGAAGTTCTTAACGTTAGGCTTACTTGCACGCATACTGCCAATCTAACCGAGTGAAATGGGCTGGTTCTGTTGTACAGTCTGCAGGTTGAGCGCACCAGAACGGTATTCCCCACTCGTGTCATATTTAGGGCTTAGAGTCACCGTGCAAGTGTCGTTTGTCTGAGTCCTAAAATCCTCCGAGTCCAGGACTGACCAGCGACCTAAGTGCGACGTGCTCAGCCGTGACATGTAAACTGTACAACCCTCCTTCTCAGTCCCCCCTCTCGGACAATTGAGAGAGATCAACCCTCGCCTCCAAGTTGCTTTGGCGGGGGCTGTTCTGGCCTGCGGGAGGTCAGGGCCTGTGGTTTAACGGCCTCGTAAATGATTTCAGGTGGTACTGTTTTAGGTTGTGTCTCTTCTTCTGCAGTTCTTTTGCATGCCTCCCTCCAGTTGCTAGAGCCAGTGTGGGCTGGTATCTCCTGACACAATCGTGGTTTACTGCACCAGAATGGTGGATCTTCTAAACCAAATCTTCCGTGCACCCACACAGTACATATTCTTCTCCCAACCCGGCAACACACACAATTTCATTTACGTGACTTTCTATTTTAACCCATGCATCATGTTCGATTGTGTAGAGCAAACACTCTGTCTCGTCGCATTGTTTTGCTGGACAGTGGAAACTTCCTGAAATTCTCTATTGGAGAGGTGGAGAACGCTGGAATCCGTGATGTTCACATAAGGAGGTTGTAGTTCATTGATCGTGAGGGGAATCAGCACAAATGTTGCCAGCGTCAGTGATATGCACATGTTCATTCTCAGGCTCCAACCATGCTTCCTGAGTGTTCTTTGGCGCTGGAGATCTGTCTTTTATCGCTGTTCTCCGGGTGGCCGTCGTCTCTGCCGTCCCTGCCGTCTCTGCCATCTCTGGTTGGCCCGTTGTTGTCCTGGAACCCTGCAGTGGGGGAGGGCTCTCCACCCTGCAACCCCTTAACCGGAACCAGATGGATGTGCTCCTTCGCCTCCTGGATCCGGGATGCGTTTGCAGTGGCTGGCGTGGACCCACGTTGCTTTCCCTTCCACCTTACTGCCGTCTCCGTGGTCAGGGGTACTTGGAAGGGCCCCGTGTAGCGTCTCTGCTTCCAGTGCTTTCTCCAGTGATCCTTAATGAGGACCCAGTCTCCTGGTTTCAGGTGGTGCTGTAGCTGTGGATGGAAGCGCCGCTTACACCTCTCCGTGCAGTGCTGAGAGTGAAGGGGAGAGGTTAGCACAATATCTCAGCATGCTCATTTATAGCAGTGCACATCCCCCCTTTGCCCACGTGATCTTTTCCGTGAGACAACTTAGCATAAATGTGGAAGAGAGCACGTGGCAAACAGGGCCTACTGTCCGGCCCTGTGTAGATTCCGCCCTCAAGAATGGCACCAGATCGTTTCCACAGGGAACGCTCCTGTGCACCGGCCAGAGGCTGAAGTGTTGAAAGATCGGCATAAGGACTAGGATCGGTCGGTGTGGAAAGCATGTGAGCCAGGGGGAAAAGGAAGCCCTGCGAGACTGCCTTCTTCGCAGCCGCATCCGCGCCCCTGTTTCCTTCAGCTGCCTTACCTGCCTCGGCAAGTGCAATCAACTCTACCGCCTGTGCTGAGAAGTGTGAAGGAAGCCCGCCACTAACAAGTGTGCTGTGTGATGTAACCACTGAAAACCCGTGTCTGGTGAGCAAGAAGCGGAGCCGTCTACAAACAGCTCAAGATCTGCATTGGGAAGAGGTGTGTCCAACAGATCAGGCCTTGGTATGCATGTCTGCTGCAAGACTTCGACACAGTCATGAAGCTCTCTGTCATCTGCAGTTGGAAGAAGTGTAGATGGGTTAAGGACATTGCATCGTTTGACAATTACATTAAGTTGTAGGATACCTGAACCATCTCTGAGCAGAGAGGTGAGAAGTCTTCTGGGCATATAAGATATGAGAGACAGTAAGTGGGACCATAAGTGGGACATCACAGAAGCCCACAATGTCACATGATGCTAAAATGTCTCTCTCGGCTGCTGCCACTGCTCGCAAACAGAGAGGAAGACCCGAAGCAACAGGGTCAAGTGTTGAGGAGAAGTAGGCAACAGGCCTAAGTTGTCCTCCATGAAGATGACACAAAACTGATGTCATTTAACAGTCCTTCTGGTCTATGAACTGAGTCTACGGTAAGTCGGGTCTCAGCAGGCCCAGAGTCGGGGCCTGTGATAAGGTAGTCTTTAAGTCCTGAAAAGCCTTTTCAGCTTCAGTAGTCCAAGTCAGTTTGTCATGCGCGCTGAGGCCTTTACCGTGGACCATGAATGAGAGAGGTGCCTCCCTTTCTGAATAATTAGGGATCCACTTTCTACAGTATGAAGTCATCCCCAAAAACTCATCATTCGTTTTTTTGTTTTTGGTTTTGGTTTTTGGTACCAATTGAATTGCCCCAATACGTTTGGGAGAGAGGGATTTTGCCCTCAGCTGTGATCACATGTCCCAGATAAGTCACTTGTTCTAGAGCAAATTTAAGTTTTTGTAGGCAAGCCTTATGTCCGTTCTCTGCCAAATGTTTAAGTAGCGAAATTGTATCAATTTTACAAGCCTTCTTTGATGGGCTGCAAATCATCATATCAGCCACATAATTTAGAAGGGCCGACCCTGCAGGGAGTTATAAATTATGTAGATGTTCCTAAGCGCTTCTGTGGAATACACCTGACTTCCGTGGTTACCCACTGGACAACCTATCCATTTATAGCCGCGCCCAAAAAAGAAAAAAAACAAACCAACTTATGTCTTCTTGTTTGGGAGGCTATACAAGTCTGCGTGTTGTGTGCATTCCTCAACGAGCTCTACTGTTCTGTGTACACTTACTCGTGTGATCAACGTAGTGCGATCTACATTACCACTAGCGCTATACTCTTCATGAGGATCCTCTGCACCCGGTCTGAACTTTAGGCCGAGACGCTGTTGCAACCATGGACCAAGATCCTGTATCCCAGTGAGATGGTTTAGCCAATGAAATGTGGAGTAAAATCAAGGAACACCTTCTTTTTTTCCTTTGGGAAGGAGAGAGAGATACAGACACCGCAGCAGCCTCCTCTGACCAATACACATGCTTCAACCATGATCTCTCTTTCTCCAACTTTTGGTCATGCTGTACCTCCACATACCTTCTATCTCGCCCTGTGCTTACACAGGATGTGCAATGTAATGACTGTTCATGCATGTAATCTTCTACCGTGTGTGTATGCGCAATTTTTACATGGTCATGAGTAATTAATGCATCAAGGTATGCTAATAGTTTTCATCCATATACATACAGGAGGGTTTTTGGACTGTAATTGAACATCTAAAATAATTGCAATTTAGTCTTTTTTTTTTTTTTTTGTGTGCCATCTGATGTTGAGCTCAAACACAATTTCATTTACTCTTGAGTCAACTACACAGTGTTACCGGATGGCAAGAAATCGTCAACGTTAATTATGGGAATTTCTGAATATAACTCGACATGCAATCTAAGATGTGTGTGTGTGTGTGTTTGTGTATGTGCAACTATTTTGTTTCGTTTATGAGTATGTGTAGGGTGCGTTACTTTCTCCTCCGTGATGGGGTGCTCCGTCTCTGGGGTCCGCCCCTCCCTCTGCCTTCCTCAGTCAGACGTGTGATGTGTCTCATCCTCATGTGCTCAGGACACTCTGCTCGCCAATGTCCTTGTTGTCCACAATTGTAACACACGCTTGGATCATAACTCCCGTAAGTCCGATCTGATCTGCCTCTGCCACGAGCTCTTCCATAACCTCTTCCTCTTCCACGTTGGCCTTGGGCAAATTGTTGGCACTGCAAGCACGTAAACATCGCATACTGAGCCTTTTCAAAACCTTTTAGTTTGTCCTTTTTCTTGTGTAACTCATCTTCAGCGTGCTCAGCGTGCTGAAGGATGTCTGCAAGAGCACAGGTTTTCCAGGTTACACATGATCTTTTCACCATCCGTTTAAGTTCAGGTCTCATTCTGCTTATAAAATGTTCTTTCCGATGGACTTCATATGGCATCAGGGGCTGTGCCCCCATTGGATCAGGTCTCTTCAGGCCACTGTGGGTGTCAAAAGCTGTCGTCAGGCGTCCCAGGAATGAGCTGCGTGTTTCTTGTGGCCCTTGTGTCATAGAGGTGACGGTGGGGAGGTTCAGTCTCAGAGGAAATTGTTCTTTTACCAACACAATGAGAGCATCTACAGCACTTCTAATGTCCACATCTGTGCCGTGCTCACAATCAGGATCTTTAAGGCGAGCAGCCATTCTTGTGGTGTTGAACACACTCTGAACCTTGTGATAGTCATGTGTCAGAAGTCTGCACATCAGACGCCGCAGCTCTGACATGCTAGGATGGTATTTTCTGACAAATGGCTGAAAATCAGTCTCCAACTTAGCAAGATTGTCCTTAGGACTGCAGACGTGGCTCATTGCCTTGGTCACATTGGCATCTGACCAGGGTCTGAGAACCAGCATCGGCCCTTGCGCCCCCTCGACTGGAAAAGAAGCTGCAGGATCGAACGACGTCTCTTTTTTTTTTTTTTTTTTTGAGCAAGGCCCACCTTTGTTGAGCCTGCGAGCGGGTCACAGTAGGTGAAAAGGTCGTCTGGCTGGTGTTTGAGGTTGAATCTGGCTTCCCTCCTGGTGGGCTGTTGTCAAGCCGAGGAAAGGTTGCTTGTGCTGCTTCCTGCTGAGGAGACTGCGGGCTCATGAAGGCGGGAGCTGGAGGAGCAGTGAGGGGAGGGGGGGAGTCCAGATCCGTGTCCACCAATATCCGCAGGAACTCATAAAAACAAGGATAAAGTGTTTTGGGGTTAGAAGGGGTACACATGTCAGAACTTTTTGTAGGATCTTTGGTCTTTAATGAATTAAATGCTACCAACCTCTGTCTCTCCCTTCTCTCCGACTCATACTTCCACATCTTGAAAGCTTCCCAATCTGCCTTACATACCACATTCTTCTTCTGCTTTCTTCTCGACAGGCCTGCATGCTGAGCTGCATCGTTCTTCTCCTTCCCCCTTAGTTGCAATTCCAACTGCTCCAATTGATTCTTACTCAAACTCCCCTTTGAAGGAAACCCCAATTCAACCCATTTTTGTATTTGATTCAAACTGCCAGGATAACGCTCTGACATAAATTTTCACACTAGTGGCAGGATATTAGTCTCATGGTTATCCCCCGTCTCCCCTTTACTCTGAACACTACCCATTTAGCTATCTGTATCTGTATACCCGGAGTGTACGCGCCTATAAAGGTGCGCACAAACGGAGAAATACCCCATGCATAACTAAGGCAAGTCAGTGACCGTTGTTTTCTCTGGCCACTCAGTCTACTGCACTTATCCCAAGTTGGCCTGTGAATTTTCAGGAGACACAGGATATGCAACTTGAGAAAATACTACAGGTGACCCAGACACGTCTGTCTACAACACACTCGTTGTGAGATAGGCCTAAAACCCTTTTGTCAATGACTCTGTCTGCCTTAAAATAATTTTGATCTCTCACCGCGTGTTCGTCGTTTCTTTTCTTGAACTGGATGGATCGGCAATCCGGGTCTCGTCGGGACGGCAGCTTCTCACCCTCAGGGAGGAATCACCTATACTATATGGCCTCCTGTCCGTCCGTCAGAGTCCAGATCACGCGTCCATCCCATCCTCGTCGCCAAGTTTGTGGTGGAAATTTGTGGATTTAGCCCATGTGAGAAATCAAAAGTATCTTGATCTTGCTTTGTGATTAAGTATTTATTACTAACTAGGATATAGAAAAAATCATTAGAATACAGAAATCATCAACACAAGTCGTAAGTACAGACAGGAGTCAAATGACTACAATTTAGCTGAAAAGGGACAGATGTTCCTTCCCCCAAAAGGAGCAGGAAGATCTGACAAAGTTGAAGAGGAGAACAGGAGCTTATATACACTTCAGGGAGGACCCAGACAATCAACAACATCTAAAAGGTCAGTCAGGGCACGCATGTTTTCATCTGTATCTTATCTCACCCTGGACTGCCTTAAGTCACCGGCTCACATCAAAGGTAACATTCCTGAGAGCCTCACCCCACGCAGGCTCAACAATTTTCCCCCAACATTGTGCATCTTAGATTAGAGGAAAAATCCTTCATGTCTCACATCAACGTGAATACCGTGTATGTGACCAGAGCCTTCGTTGCTTCGTGTTGCTGATCAGGTTGCGCTGAAGCACCCGTGTTGTGACTTGGTTTACCTGACGGACGTCATGACGGACTTTGACTGCAACGTTTTCTTCCCCGAGTTTGACAGAGGACTCTTCAAAGTACAGGAAGGGTATGTGTGTTTGTCTCGTTCTCTGCTGATTATGGTGCAGGTTGTCCTTTTACATGCAAAGTTATTTTAAGGCTTTGCTCCCTTTTTACAAATCAAACGTCAGGCCCCGTCAGAAGGTTTTGGTTAAAATAGTTTTAATACTTCAAAAACACAAAATTTGCTGAATTCTTTGGTATTTTCTCGTCATTCTACTCTTATTGAAAAAGTACTTTGCACGTTTTATGTGAGACGGTTTTCTTCCACACTAAAAGCTAATCTATGTGTGAATATTGTTTTATCCATGGAATTATGAATTTTTTGGGGACTTTTTAATGGACGTTTGTTGTTTTTTGTCTTGTTTCCAAACCAGATTTCCTGGCGTGCCGAGTGAAATCCAAGAAGAAAACGGCATTAAATACAAATTCCAAGTATTCAAGAAAGAGACCAGTGATGCGGTGTAAAAACTAACCGAAAAAATCACTGGAAGAAAACCACTCAATATGTATTGCAGGATCAACTCCTGGATAGACAAGCTGCCAAAACCTGCAGTATTATATTTTGAAAAAGTACACTCGTATATTCGAGGAACCGCCCCTGCAAGGCCGAGGAGGAGCCGTGACACCCCCCTCCTTAAGATGAGGGTCCAACCCTCAGCCCCAAAATTTGGCCCACATTGAAAACAATCCAAACAGTTCCCTCAAAATACAACAAAAAAAAATACCCGTCCTGGCTCCTAACAGTCACCCTGTGTCCCCCGCCTGACTGTCCATACCTCAAACTCTGCAGCCCTGGTACCTAGGGAGTAAATTAAGAGAAAAGAGGCGCAGACAACCCGTAGGGGTCAACAGAAAGAACATACCAACTAGGTTACAGGAGCACGGGACAGAGCGTCAGCAATGATATTATCCTTGCCACTAATATGTCTAATATCAAGGTTGAACGGTTGCAGGAACAAAGCCCAACGTATCAAACGCTGGTTGGGATTTTGCAAGGACTTCAAAAAAATGAGGGGGTTGTGGTCAGTGAAAACAGTTAAAGGGGTCAAACCGGAACCAACATAGACCTCGAAGTGCTGTAGAGCCCAAATGAGACCTAAAGCCTCCTTTTCAATCACAGAATAGTTCTGCTGATACTTATTAAATTTCCGGGAGAAGAAACTGACTGGACACTCAACTTGGTCATCATTTTCCTGGAGAAGCACAGCCCCAGCACCGATTTGACTGGCATCTACCTGTAATTTAAAAGGTTTCTCGAAATTTGGTGCTGCCAACACAGGCGACAAACACAGAAGAGCCTTAACTGCATCAAATGCCTCTTGACAGTGGGTGGACCAGATGAATTCAGCTTTAGCCTTCAACAAATTTGTCAGTGGGGACACTACTACCGAAAAGTTTTTACAGAAAGCACGGTAGTACCCCGCCATTCCCAGGAAGCGCATGAGTTCCTTCTTTGTAGAGGGCTGTGGAAACTGCTTCACAGCCTGGACTTTTGCTTCCACGGGACAAACAAAACCCTGACCAACCACCTTGCCTAGGTATGTGACTGTAGCTTTGGCAAACTCACACTTTGCCAAATTGATGGTCAACCTGGCCCACACCAGTCTTTGAAACAAGGCTTGCACTCTGCAGATATGCTCCTCCCATGAGTCAGAGTAGACGACCACGTCATCCAAATATACAGCACAGCCTTCCAGACCTGAGACCACACGATTCATCAGCCGTTGGAAGGTGGCTGGAGCATTCCGCAAACCGAAAGGCATCACTGTGTACGAGAATAAGCCAAATGGTGTTATAAAAGCAGCAATCTCACCAGCCCTTTTGGTAAGGGGCACTTGCCAATATCCCTTTAAAAGATCAAATTTGCTAACAAACTTTGCAGACCCAACTTGATCAATACAATCCTCCATCCTAGGAAGAGGGTAAAGGTCTGCTTTGGTAACATTGTTAATTTTTCTATAATCAGTGCAGGGTCTGAAAGTGGAATCAGACTTTTTTACAAGAAGACAGGGGGAAGCCCAATCGGAACAACATGGCTCAGCAATACCATTGTCCAACATATACTGTACCTCTGTTTCCAATTTTAGTCTCTTCTCCTCAGGTACACGGTAAAATCTCTGTTTGATAGGCTTCGCATCTCCGATGTCTATGTCATGCTCTAGTAAATGGGTTTGTGATGGAGTGTCAGAAAACAAAACATTGTAGTTTCTAATTAGAGTTACCAATTCATCACGTTTCTCCAAATCTAAATGATCTACCAAAACCCCAAGGTTTTGCAAAGTCTGGGAGTTTTTCAACCGACCCTGCAGGACTTCATCAGAAACCCTAATGACCTCCTCCTCTCCCCCATCCACAAAGTTTAAGCCACAAGATACAGTGACTGGAGCAGCAGTCAACGCTGACTTCACTACTCGAGTGCCCTCCACTTTGCTTTGATCACGGGAGTGATAACATTTTAACAGGTTCACATGGCATAATTTAGAGGACTTCCTATACCCCGGAGTTTCAATAAGATAGTTCAAATCTGACACTTTGCGCAACACATTAAAAGGACCACAGTATTTTGCCTGAAAAGGTGAACTTACAAGAGGCAAAAGAGCAAGTACACGATCACCGGGAGTAAACTCACGCAACTCTGCCTGTCGGTCGTATCTCAATTTCATTTTCTTTTGAGAACATTTTAGCTTTTCTTTCGCCAGTTCTCCAGCTCTATACAACTTCAGCCTAAATCCATTTACATAGTCAATGAGGTTCCGAGGTGGTTCTTCAGGCAAACAACCATCCTGCAGCACTGCTAAAGGCCGCCGTACCTTATGACCAAACACCAAATCATTTGGGCTGAACCCTGTGCTCTCCTGTACTACCTCACGAGCAGATAGTAGTAACCAAGGTAACCCCTCCTCCCAATCTGCAGACAGTTCTGTACAGTACGAACGAAGCAAAGATTTTAAAGTTTGGTGAAATCGTTCCAAAGCTCCCTGGCTCTGGGCATGGAACGCAGTAGACTTGTTGTGTTTAACTTTTAGCTGTTTGAGAACCTGAGCAAATAAATGGGAGGTAAAGTTAGAACCCCGATCTGACTGGATGATTTTTGGAATTCCAAATGTAGAAATGAATTGAGTTAATGCTTTAACTACTGCTTTTGAAGTTATGGTACGCAAGGGAAAAGCTGCCGGATATCTCGTTGCGTGACACATAACAGTTAATAAGTAGTTATGACCTGACTTAGACCGTGGTAAAGGCCCAACACAATCGATAATAAGATGCTCAAAAGGTTGTCCTATGGCTGGTATTGGATACAAAGGAGCTGGCTTCACAACCTGGTTTGGCTTGCTTGTGCGCTGACACGTAGGACAAGTTTTAATAAACTGAGCTACAGCTCGCTTTAAACGAGGCCAGAAAAAATGCCTGAGTATGCGATCATAAGTTTTACGAACACCCATGTGACCTGCCAACTCACCATGTGAAGTTTGCAACACTTTGTTTCGCAAAACAGTAGGTACAACTACCTGAAAAACTGGTTCGCCTAGACCCTGAACAGAGTGTGGAACCCATTTCCTGACCAACAGTCCCTCAAGAAGAAAATAGCACTGAGCATTATTCCTCACCGCTGCCTCAGGAACAACTCTATCAAACAGATCAGTTAAGGTAGTATCGGCCTTTTGCTCAGCTATCAATGACTCTCTAGAACTAGTCAACTGTTCAGTTTGGAGTTTAACTGGCAACTCGAGACTTTCTGGCTTACTCTCAATCTTCTTGAGTGCGGCAGAGCGGGTAACAGCACACCCTGGAAATACCTCAGGAGACACACAACTGTATTCTGGAGATACCTTTGCAGGGGGCACTGAAGGTTGCTTCTTAAAGATGTTTATTTTGCCATCCGACCACACCTTACTACCTGCCAAGTCATTCCCCAGAATCATGTGTATTCCCTCTACTGGCAACTGGGGTCTAACCCCAACCGCTACATCACCCGCTACCAGACCACATTTTAGAGTTACTACATGTAAAGGGGAAGAGAATGGAACTAAACCCATGCCACGTACCATTACACAACTGCCAGTATCAGACACCTTAGAGAAAGGCAAAATGGACTCCAAAATAAAAGAATCCAAAGCTCCAGTGTCTCTCAAGATCCTAATTGGAACATTGTGGTTGCCATCTACCAGCGACACCACACCATCCGAAACAAAAGCTGAAAAGTCACCTTGGTGAGATTGAGAACCAAACTCAACTTTTGGCTGAAAAAACTCACCCTGATGGTCAGAGGCTGTACCAGAAACGGCCATCACAGCCGGTTTAGCTTGAGCTAACTTCTTTGATCTAAGTAACGGACAATCTTTCTTCCAATGTCCTTCAACTAAACAGTAGCGACAGGTATTATCTTTTAATGGTGCTTTAGGTCCCCCAAAACCAAACTTCTGTGGCCTTTGGAACGAAGCTCCAGAAAAAGATGACTTACTATTCCTAGGAGTAAAGTTTTTAAAGTGCATATCACTATTTGACTCAAAATGGCTTTTATGGGTTAACCTGTGCTCATCTGCAAGGACTGCTGCATCACTTGGCGACTTAACTTTTCGCTCATTAATGTATGTAGCAACCTGGTCAGATACAGAGTCTTTGAACTGTTCTAACACGATCAAGTTAGACAGATCCTCAAAAGTACTAGCTTCAGAAGCTGTACACCAACGATTAAATGCAGAAGTCAAATCGCGAACAAATTCAGAATAAGTCTGCGAATCTTGTTTCTTCCTGTAACGAAAACGTTGACGATATGCCTCTGGTACGAGCTCGTAGACCTTCAGAACTGCTGATTTAACTTTAGCATAAACTTTACTGTCAGCTACACTCAGTGCTGAAAAAGCCTCACGTGCCTTACCTGTAAGTGCACATTGCAACAACATAGTCATGTCCAGATCTGACCAAGCTCTAGCTTCTGCAATACGATCAAATAGCGTAAAGTATGTGTCTGTATCTGACTCATCAAATTTAGGCAACAAACGAAGATTCTGTGAAACGTCAAACTGTTGTACTCCTTCTGGTCTATTGACATTCCGCAATCGTGCTATCTCTAACTGCATTTGCAACAGCTCCCGCTGCTGCTCAAAAGTTAATGAAGGGCTAGACTGAAAACTTGCACCCTCACTAACAGAGTGACCCCAAAGAACACCTATTTCTCTAAGACCCTGCTTTAATCTAGCTTTGACAGACTTTAAGTTTTCCATCATCAATCTCAATCTTATAATGGTCAGCAATTTCAATTAACTGCTCCTTAGTACACAATTCCAAAGCTACCTCTGAAGGAGTTTGAACAAAACCACTTAGAATAGAAGACATTTTCCTCAACCAATACAACTATTACCAACTCTGAGGGAAAAAAAAAAAAAAGTACACAATTCACCTACTGCCAGTCTGGGTTTAAGGACAGGAGCCACACCCCACTATTCTCCAAAAAAACTAACTGGCCCCTAGTCTTCGTGCAGTCACATGTGGTGGGTTTTTATGCACACAAAACCAGCAGAGTGGAAAGACAACCAGAAGCTGGCTG